CCCACTACACTGAAATCACTCGCGAAATCTTTTGTAATCCAGGTGGATTTCTCATATATTTTCATGATTTCGACTTCTTGAATTTTAATCCGAATTCAACGAAATCCTATCGAAATCCTCACTTTTGTAAAACGAATAAACCTTTAGATACTACAAAGTTCAATCCTGTAGACTGCTTCACTTGAAATGTCAAAATTCTCTACATAAACAAACGCACACGACTATACACACTAATTAGAAAATGTCCACGAAATCCAAAAAAATGCGGTGAAAACAGTTAAATTGGTTTTTAAGATTTCAAGGTCGATATCTCAAATTTCAGTGCAGTGGGAATGTAATATAACCATAAACCATCAGCTGGGACCAGAATACCAAAATTTATATGGAAATATTTTTGAGTTTTGACTCGATTTACCGAGCTGTGCTTTAAATTTTCAATACTACGCACTTGTGTTTCGACAACTGGGTGGACGATCGACCTATCTCGGCTGCCAGTCCAAAAACGACCTATGTATCTCAGAAAACTTTTCAAGAACGCCATATTTCAAAATTTGGTTGAAGAACGAAGAAATCGGATCAAAAACGCCCTATCTCAGCTGTCGATTGAAAAATGCCNAGAATACCAAAATTTATATGGAAATATTTTTGAGTTTTGACTCGATTTACCGAGCTGTGCTTTAAATTTTCAATACTACGCACTTGTGTTTCGACAACTGGGTGGACGATCGACCTATCTCGGCTGCCAGTCCAAAAACGACCTATGTATCTCAGAAAACTTTTCAAGAACGCCATATTTCAAAATTTGGTTGAAGAACGAAGAAATCGGATCAAAAACGCCCTATCTCAGCTGTCGATTGAAAAATGCCCTATCTCAGCACATTTTCAATATATGTTCGGCTGAGGTAGGGTGCCTTTAGCCGCCAACTTTTTGCGAAAGTAGAAAAGGCATAATTTCGAGACTCCCTCTATATTTACAAATATTTTTGTTGATAAATTTAAAATTGTCATGCTATTCACCAAATTTTTATTTTTTATTTTTTAGCATTACACATCAAAATCATACAACGCGTAGCATCATGACGTTCTATTGGTGGTCACATTGGTTCTGGATAACAACGTTAAGCAGTGAGTATAGCTATATTCATACCGTTGCATTTTACACAGATACTTAGCCATGGCTTTTCTTTCAATACATCCAGCTATCCTTCTGAGCATAGCCATCGTGCACACATATCCTAGCCAGGATATTTCCCAAGAGTACAATCAAAATAGTAAATCAGTGAAAGCCGTTACAAAGCTACATCAGACGACAGCCTCAATAGAATGGTCCACAACGACGACAGGCACTGCTCTTACTCAAAGCACAGAAGAGGAGGGTATTATTGAATCTGCGCAACAGCAAAGCCAAGAAGACAATACGGGAGATAGTGGTGATGAATTGCCGACAGAGGACACGGACGATAGCGCTGTGGCACAAGCAGATAAGGAATTAGGGCGACAAACTGCTGAAGAGCATGATAATGTGGTGGAGAATGACAGCAGACTGAGCCCAGAGCAGTTGGAGTACAAAAGATCTGCAGGGAATTTTAATAAAACGCTAGAAGATGTAAAAGACGAAGTTGAGGCTATTGAAGAGCCAGAGGTGGCTGCAGTTGTGGCTGAGCAGAGATCTATGCCAATGGAGGAAAGGGGTCAAAAATTGAGAGGCGATGATGCAGAGATGAATAATTATACGAACTTTAGTCGGGCTTCCGACCAGTCGAAGTAAGTAATTCAAGTGAAAGATTCCCCAGTCCTATAATTCTCTTTTTTTTGGCTGTTTAGAACCAATACAACTTGCGAAAACTGTCAAATAGGCACGAATGAGCTAAACAACAGCACCACAACAGCCACACGAACTCTACAGGCACCGAAGGCCGCGAGCGCGTCGACCACCAGTTCGACGACGCTGCCTGTGGCATCAAAATCCCGCTTGGATTCCTTACACTCCGAAACGTTGGAGTGGTTGAATGCGATTGCAGCAGCTGCCGCTGTACCAGCGCCCAAATTGCTTACAAATGCGCCAGAATCAACCGAAAACGATCGTGGAACGCTTAGTGTGCCAACAGAGTCGGCAGCAGCGACGGCACAACAACGCATACCCTTCACGTTGGAGAATGCCAACAAGGAGGAGGAATTGCGACGCGCCGAAAACGAGCATCGATCGCGAAAATCGAAAGTGCTATCGGCCGAATACAAGCATATTAATCGATTCATAAACTATTCGGCGGACACAAAGAGCCTATTGACGCGAAGTGCGTCGACGGCGCCCAACGATTTCGATGGCGGTGAAGAGAGCAACATCTCCTCGGAGGCATTATCGATACAGGTGAGCCGATATGCATTGGAATTCGAACGAGATTGTGATCGAAGTTTTTCTTCTTTTCCCGTAGCGTACTTACTTTTTCGACGCTGGCGCCATTTCTGCCATCTGTTTCACTATCTTCGGTATATGCTGTACTGTCGGCACCATTGGCATAGTGCTCTATCGGCGTAGATACCTCAATAAACCGCAGGCGCTTAGCGAGCCTGACTCGAGTGTCTACATCGATGATAGCACGATGCGTGTAAGTGTAAGGAATCCTTTAATCAGGCTAAGAATTTATAATGGCCGCGTCAATGAAGTTAATTTCTTTTGATGATTTACAGGATAACTCCGATGAGATGTACAGTTTGGATAACGATTCATTTCTCAATTCGCTGGAGGCGATGACAATACAAAACTACTGGACGGACACCGTTAAACATACAAAGCTTTAATTTCGTTTACAAGGAGGGGAGACATGCATATACGAGTGTATACATATTAATTAGTTATTCATACATATATGCATCATTATTAGAAACATTAGAAAATTAGTATAAAATATTGTCTAATTGAAGAATATTATCTATTATTAATTATAAGTTAGTTTGCATCTACTAAACTCAAATTAACATAATCATTAAGTTTAAATAGATATTTAGCTGTTAGTGATGTGATTGAGATTCCCAGAGTCAGGGGTTAACACTTTTGTTTTTATGTATAATAATATTTTTTTTACTTAAATTAATGACAAATTTATGTAGGAGGGAGGTGATACTTTTTTAATAGTATGTATCTTAATTTTTCTTTATTTTATTTTATTTTACTAAGGGCTCTTAACATATTTATTTTAAAGTGGAGTTAAATCATTAATTAAGCTTAACTACAGAAATTTCTATGGAATTTTTCGTAGTTAAGTTTATCTAATGATTCAAATATATTTTAAGATAGATATATAGAAATATGTTATCTGTATGACTAAATGGCTACATACATACATATGTCTCTGCATCAAAATTCACGAGATCGTATTCCCCTTCTTTTTAAATGAATACTTGCGAGTTCTACACTGTATGATTCTAGTCTTATTTTTCAAAATATTTGGTCCCTAAAGCTTATCACCCAACATGCTGGAATTATTCCAGCTGCAGTTATAAGGACGAGTATCCAGCCCTCAAGAAAAATGTCAAGAAATATTTCTCATTTACCTTTGCTGTAAATTTTTGTGAAGAAATAAATACACAGAAATTATTTTTTCTTGAGAGCGTTTAACTGATTTAAGAAATTTTAGTAAAAGCAATGAACCCGGGTCCTGCGGCTTGGTAGTACGCACCTCTAATCACTGACCCTCAGCCAAACTAAAAGTTATGTTTTCATGAAAAAGTGAGTGCATGGTGTTTTTTTATATTTGCATTGATTTTTAAGTTAATTTTTTTTTTGTTATTTTTTATAAAAATATGTTTCATGCTTTAATCAAACCCTCATATTCAAACTTTACACTGAATTTAGAAAAATTCCACGAATTTTGATCTAAATTTTAAACTTTTTAATCTGAAAAAAAAATGGGTATGCAGATACATCGGTTAGTTAATTCTAGTAAAACAAGTGCAAGTTTTAAGCGCCTAAAATAAATGTATAAATTGCATTTGTTATAGGAAAAAAACCGCAAAATCCGCCGAAAAAAATTATTAAAAATTAACGCGAATTTTAACCTTTTAAAACTTGCACTGGTTTTAATAGAATTACATAACCGATGCATACACAGAATTTTCTAAAAATTCAAACTAAAAAGTTCAGAATTTAGATGAAAATTTGTTGAATTTTTATAAATTCTGTATAAAGTTTGAAAGTTTGACTTATGGGGGTTTCGTTATAGCATCATATTAAAAAAATGACAAAAATATTTTAAATTGAAAAACATTGCAAATATATAATAAACAGGGAACGGATTTTATGGAAATTGCCTTTTCTTCTGCTAGAGGGATAGAGCATATTCGATTACCTTTTTTTGCCTTTTCTACCTTAAAGGCCAGTATGCAGCTCTCAAGAAAAGCAAAAACTCTACATAAAATGACGTACAAGAAATGGCTAAGAAATTTTGTTGTGTTAAATTTCCTTAAGGCGCTACACAGTTGTTAAGAAATTTGTTACGCTTTCTAAGACGGATTTCTAAAGTTTTTTTTTATAAAAAAAGAGCACAAGGTAACCCATGCTTGCAACAGAAATATATTCCCATTCCATTATTTCTTGAGGAAAGAGTGAGGCAACAGGATGTGAAGTATCAGAATTCCTTGGTCACACACAAGAAATACTGGCAATTTTTTTCTTTTCCATTTTCTGGAGAGCTGCATACCGGCCTTTAGCTGTAAAGGGCAAGGAAAAAGCCCTTATTCCTGATAATATGAAGTTTTTAAACCTTCCATGTTTAAATTGGGAAAATGCGCTATCTCAACGGCCGAATACTGAATTTATATTGAGATATGGCACCTTTGAAACGGAAGTATAAGATAGCGCCTTTTTTTATCAATTTGCTGAGATAGGGCGTTTCCGAACCGGGAGCCGAGACAGGGTTATCTTCCACTCAGCCGACGGTACAGCTATTAAATTTTCACATAAATAGAAGAACAGATAGCGGTCATTTCCTCATACTTAACTCGATTTTGTATACTTTTCAATTATGACACTTGAAGTAAATGAGCGATATGTATTTGT